TCCTAAACATGTTGACAAGTAAAAAACACCCCATAGTGTGAAACCAAACTTACTTAAATACATGCTTTCTAGTGCAACTGTTAGCAGTAACACATTCCTCATCAATATATTTGTATTGGAATCTGCAATATGACTAAGAAAACCTAACATTGACTAAAGATAAATATTAAGATGCAATCACCACCTTGAATCAGTGTTCTCCTATATGGTGAAATTTTTACTTTGCAATTCAATACTTTCTCTAATACAAGAAAACACTGCCCTCAGAATTATGCCCAACCAGACTTCTTTCTAACCTTATAATACAAATAGCCCACAATACGAGTCAGGAGTCAGCCCACAATACGTTTTATTTCTGCATCAGTAGTAGTAGTACTCTGTGCCTCCACTGTCAAATTAGCACCAAGTACCCTGGCCGTCAAAATACAGTATAAGCCAGGAGAGAAAATGTAAAAGGCCGTAACATTTTAAAACATACTGACAACCAACATTAGAACTAGTAAATTACAGGACAAGAAAATGCCACTGCAGGTGACAATCAGGTGTTTATCATGGAAAAACTAAAAAACGCTCAATTAAATTTTCACATATAGCTCTTCTATGAGTACTGCCCTTCTCCTCAGCACTACATACCAGGTAATCCCATAAATCCACAATACCCTAGGAACAGAGTTCAACACTGTAATAGAAAATAAATTACAAAGTCAAGAACTGCAGTTCTGAACTGCAAACAAAGGTGTCTTTAGTACAGATAAAAGTCAACCAAAAGTCTTGATTGCTTATAGATATTTTCTTTATCATCAATTCCCTTTTCTGCTTTAACAATTCTCAGACCAAAATCAACTTGACAGCCTAACAGAAGACATTACAAGGCCACAGTCAAACAAAATCCCATCAACAATGTGTTAGCAGTTCTGCTTCATCACGTGTCCCATTTTAAGCCTCACGTTCACTAAAGCTGTGTGTCCCTCAGAGCTACGCAGATCATGCTGGACTGAACGTATCCACTTTGTGCATTTGAAAATGGAATTAGGTGAGTAAATAAAGTAAATCGAACATCCCACTACGTGACGTCTGGCAAATCAGTGTTTAAAAATGTATGAACAATTTAACGTCTGAATTCGGCATGCAACACTATCTTCCAAAACCAGCATTTCTGTACGTTGCTTTAAAGCTGCATCATCAGTCAAACCCACCAAATAAAGCCTGACAGCTGCCATTACTGGGTCACATTAGACTGCAGCAAGCTAAGCGATGTTACATAATACGGTTTAGAGTGCACAGCATGTTAACAGAACAGCAGGCAGGGATAATCACTAAATTCATGTTGTAAATTAAGCCCTTAGGACATTAGAAGTGTTAAAAAGATAATTCCAGCCACAGCAGACAAAATAAACCAAGTGGTTACAACCCCTCTGCTCTTGCCCTCTCTAGTCTCTTCATGTAAAGACAAAGTTCATATTACCAGAGGTTCAGCCTTCATTATAGCTTTCGTACAGATTACGCTACTATTAAAAAAAAAAGATCAGAAGAGATTGAATAAACAGATGTCGGCTTAGGGGAGAGTTTTAATTTTATTGTAAAAAAAAAACTTATGCATTAAATTGATAGGTTGCTGTGGAAAAACAAAAACTCTAGCTCAGTTTAGAAGAATTACCTGAATTTGAACATATAGATATATTTGTGTCTCTGAAAATGTATAACTACTGTACTATGAAGCCCTAAAGCTTCAAAATGGAGTTGTGTTATTAACACCTAACAGATGTGGAAATAAAACAGAACACTCCATAGTTGTAAGCCCTTCTTCTCCAGGAACAGTTTCTCCAGAATAAAGCAGGAAGTGGTGTCCAGGTGCAGCAGTCAGGTGATGCAGACTTTCAATTATATATTACTAATACTTTAGACCCATTCATACAGTATCTATTATAGCAAATAGGTTTGGAACCTCAAACTAATGAAATATGCAATATTTATAAAGAAATTACCCAGAAAGAAAGGACTAGTATTGAGCAAGGGGAACAAAAGTTCAAATACTTCATTGCTGTCTCATAATTTTTTATGTGGTTTATTCAAGAGGACAATCTAAAAAATGATAAAATCCTTCAGAAACAAAATGTGACTTGAGAAATAAATCCAATTTTATGATTGTAACTTGCACTCAAAACGGATATCAAACATACCTGATCATAGGATTTGACTAAAAACCATATTGCCTTGTAGAAAACGTCACAAAATCTAAGAATTCACATTGTGTACTTCAACAGCCTCTATTTGTCTTGGAAGTATTGTAACATTGTACTTGTTCAAGTATACGTATTAACACAGCTCAAGGGTAGATGCAGACGGACCACTCAAGTTAAAAAAAATAATTTAAAAGTTTCAGGACATTTTAGATAAATCCTGCTTCAGCTGTGCAAACAAATGACCACTTGAAGACATTTTCCAAAAACTGTTTATGAATTGTTTAAGCCTTGCGCACAACACAAGTCTTATTTACTATAATTAACTGAAAATTGAAAAATGTTGCATATCTTCATTCATAAGTGAAAAAATAATAATGACATTCAAAGTACATCAAGAGAATTAAACACCAAAAACATTGTTTGGCCATTAAATTAAGCACACATTAAACACAGCATGTTAAGAATGAAGAAATCTGTTCAATATTGTGCCAACACTGACATTTCATGAAGAAAATACCAACTCTATGGGGCAACAGACAGGTAGGCACAGCTATAAAATATTATTTATCAGGACATAAAGGTATGTTATGTGAATTTTACTGTACATATTTATGAACAGCCAGCTCAGATATTGGTCATGTATATTGAAGTGAAAGGTTACTGCTGGTTCTGTGCCCCCAAAAAAACACGAAGGATCATCTTTTTAACTACTTCCAAAAACTCTGATCGCAGCACTAATACACACAGCCCTCAACAAGGACAAGTTTGGTTCCACAAACTTCACTGTAAGTTATTTTGTTCAAGTTAGATTTCACTCAATTTCTGCAAGTCGGATGTGATCCGACTTGATCACATTGTAATACAATGAACATACAGTATTTTGCAAAAAAACATTCATGGATTAAAACAGTTGTGGATTAACACGGATTCAAAAAAATTGAAATTAAGGAAGAGCAAGGCATTTGAAGTAAGTTCCTACTTAGGCAAACAAATTCATAACAAGTCACAAATCTTAAGGTTTTAATTAGTTGTTTTAATTATTTAAACATAAGCAAATTCCTGCATCAGTAGTCTAGTCTTTGTCCTTGATTATTGTATGTTGGCAGATTTAAGAAGCAATGTGAACAAGAATGAAATGACACCTGCTGCATTTGTCAGGTTGGGTTTAGAAGCGGAAATATATACATTTTATATTCACTGATATTATGAAGCAAGCAGTAGTAATACATATTAGTAAATAAATAGCAAAATACATTCCTAATAAAAATCATAACATGACAGCTGCACGCAAAATAAAGAGTTTACACTTCTTTTCCCCCCACCTACACCACAATTTCCCCCAGTACAGAACTCCTGTACTGAAAACGCTATAGCTGCACATATTGCTACCTGAAGTACATCACTAGGAAATGACTGAGAGTTGTGCTGTAAGAAAGAGGACATTATCAAGTATTTATCTGAAGGAAGTGTGATTACACGTCTTGGACAATATTTCAGAAGAAAACAGCTCCCAATGGGTCTGGGGTATCGAAACCTGATCTACGTTACCTTGACGATTCACTTCATTTTGCAGAAGCTCCTCCATTGCTTCCTCCTCTGCGATGTCTAGAGGAGTCTCCCCTTCACTGTTGACAACTCCTACATTAGCTCCTTGACTAATTAAATACCTGGAACACAAAAGAGCAAAACAGTTCAGTTCCCATAAAAGACTACACATTCGCAGAGCAACCGTCAGTTTGAAAGTGAATCCAAATTGTTACATTAACTCTTTGATGATTATTTTTATATGTTAAAATATTATGTAAACAGATAAACTTTTCCATATTTCTATACAGAAAACCGTGTCACCCTTCATCATCCTTTATGAATCTAAATCAATGAAATCACCCTTACTTTACACAGCTCACAATTTCAATCTGAAACGATGATTCTTCTTCCTCTTTTGTTACACACGTTAACATTTGTCTCTGCGCCTTTTTTTCTCCCCACTATGGCAGAAATGCTTTCTACATTTCATCTGTCATAAACGAAGAAGTCAACAAGACTCCATTTTAGATTCCCTGAATCGAGAATCACTTTCCTTTCAGTCAGGTGCTAAAAACGTGCAAGTTCTGAGATGTCAGAAGGAAGGCTGCAGACTAAAGATACAAAACACGAATAGCAATTATTTCAACAGGCTAGTTCAGTCTTTTGCTTCATGCACCAATGTAACGTCTCATTTGACAGTCATATTTTCTTCATGTATTTAAAGCGGAGATAAACTTAGTCATTTCCAATCACTTTGCCCTTTCTTTTCCAGTGATCCCACCAACTTTGAAATTTGCATCTTTAATACTTTTTGCAGCCCACTATGTCTGTTACTTCACGTCTCCCTCATAAAAAAACAGGCTGGCAGCATACTGTGCAAAACCCAGGACATATTAAAAGATAACGGGACTTTTGCATTTTTTCCCCCACCACAAAGAACCATACAGTCACACTATCTGGGGAGAATCAGCTTTGCTGGAGCTGACAATCCTTGCACAACACATGGGGAAAAAAAGATCAGACTTTGTTCTCTAAAAGAAGCACTGCCAAGCCATTTACTTCTTTCACACTGTAAACAACTGATTTTCATAATTTAGGAATTACATCTTTCAAAATGCTCCAGAGATAGGATGTTACAGAGCTGAATCCGCATGTGTGCAGTAAATTCCTCATTATTTCTGTGTTGCACATGCTTTAATGTCCGATTTCATTTTTTCCCCATGAAAGACAGTCTGTCATCCGTCTTAGCCTAAATGTTTCACTTAAAAAAACAGCTGCACGAGAATATCATATTTAATGTTTAAGCAAGCCTAAAGCATTTTTCCCATAACATTCATCTATATCAAAATGTTAAAGGGTTCTGTGCACTACCATGGAAGAATAATACAATTAGTCATTGAAGGAAGACAACTTCCCAGACTTCCATATACAAATCCTGATACAGAACCCAATGAAATAGTGTACTCATCCCCCCAAAATCAAATTTCTTATCGATAAAGATAAAAATCAATGTTCTAATTTTACACATTT